GTCTTGCTCTTTGCTGTTCTGGGTGGTAAGGCGACATAGTTCCTAAGAAAACTCTGTTAAAGATTTCCATAGCGAATCTCTCGTCCCTTTCCCCGCGCCATGCTTCCTGTGCTGCTCTGTGAGTACAGAGCAGAGCCCTTTGTTAGGGCAGACAAAAATCACAAGCACCACACAACAGCCAGGTGACAGAAAGACTGGCAACCACAAACTACACCAGACAGAAGACACAGAGGTAGAAGTGGAGAATTCAAATGGGTGCTTTCCCATCATCAAATTAAATCCAGAATCATTTTGTTTTCATTTCTTAATGTGAGACCAATGTGTTCTGGTGCCTCAAAGGTTATCTTTAATGTGTTAAGCAATGCACTTTGATTCTTTGTTGGAAAAAAAAAACAGAGGAAAGATTTAATTTGGCTCGCACATTCAAAAGTTTCAGTTTGTGGTTGCTCAGCTCCACGGTTTTTAGCCTCATGTCACAGAGGGTGTGGCAGGGTAGAGGTGCTCACCCAGTGGGGACAGGATACATCCCCAGTGACCTACTTCCTCAACTAGACCCCACCTTCTAATTGTCCAATTAACTATGAATTCACCAAGGGAATGATGAGGTTAGAGCCTTAATGATCTAATCACTTCTCAAAAGCCATCAGCTGGTCACCAAGCTCTTAGCACATTAAATTTCAGGGCACATTTTTAGATTAAAACCACAACATAGCAAATTGGATGTCTCTGTACCAGGCTTTTTCCTTTGGGCTATGAACCAGCTCCCAAATCATGACACTGGGGCTTATTATTAGTTTTGAAAAGCTTGGCCTTAGCTTAGCTCTTATTTTAATCTGTTTCTCTTTATCTACATTTTGCCTCAGGGCTTTTTACCTTTCTTTCTTTCTTTCTTTCTTTCTTTCTTTCTTTCTTTCTTTCTTCCTTCCTTCCTTCCTTCCTTCCTCTCTTTCTTTTTTGTTTTCTCTCTCTTTTTCTTTCTTTCTTTCTTTCTTTCTTTCTTTCTTTCTTTCTCTCTCTCTTTCTTTCTTTCTCTTTCTTTCCTGCTGTCTCCATGTCTGGATGGCAGCTGTCCGACTTCTGGCCCCGGCATGTCCCTCTCTTTCTCCTTCATTCTCTTCTCTGTGCTGATATATTGTGTACCCTAATAAAATTTGCCTGAAGATCAAAGAACAGAACAAGCCGCTAGATTAAACATAGATGCCAGGCAGTGTCACCTTTAATCCTAGCACCCTGGAGGCCAAGATTCATCTGGATCTCTGTGAGTTCAAAACCATCCTGGACTACATGAGATTGATTCGGTCTAGGAGAGAAACAGAGCCAGACAGTGGCGGCACACACCTTTAATCCCAGTACTTGAGAATCACATGCCTTTAATCCTACACTTGAGATCCAAAGGCTTTTTGGCTGGAGAGCTTTTTCAGGCTGAGAAGTCTAAGAGGTAAGATGTGGCAGTGGCTTGTTCCTTTGTCTCTCTGATCTTTAGGCAAATTTTATTAGGGTACACAATATATCACCATACTTCTTTTCTCTCTCAAGCTTAGATTTCTCCCCCTACTTGTTCTGCCCATCAGCTCTGCCTATCCCTCTTGCTGTGGGATGTTCTGTATGGCAAATGTGTTGCTAATTAGTCAATAAATAAAACACTGATTGGCCATTGGCTAGGCAGGAAGTGTAGGCGGGGCAAAGAGGAGAATAAAGCTGGGAAGTAGAAGGCTGAGTCAGAGAGACACTGCCAGCTGCCACGATGAGAAACAGCATGTGAAGATGCCGGTAAGCCACGAGCCATGTGGCAAGGTATAGATTAATAGAAATGGATTAATTTAAGCTGTAAGAACAGTTAGCAAGAAGCCTGCCATGGCCATACAGTTTGAAACCAATATAAGTCTCTGTGTTTACTTGGTTGGGTCCGAGAGGCTGTGAGACTGGCAGGTGAAAGAGATTTGTCCTGACTGTGGGCCAGGCAGGAAAACTCAAGCTACAAATGGCGTCCAACGTGGTGGCAAGAGTTTCCACCTAAAACCTGAAAAAATCTTCTAAAACGGAGCTAAAAACAGTTCCTAATTGTCTCTCTCAAATGAGCGGCAGCTGCCAGTTTGAGCTACTGGTGGGTTCCTAGCGTGCGCACTCGACCTGCAGTATGGCGGAAACGAGTCCTCTGCAAGTGGCACATTAAGCTGCATGGTGGATTTAGCCTTTTCTAGTACAAAACAAAAAAAGAGGTTTCTGGGCTACATGCTGCTTGGATAAAAGCATAGACCCACGATAGCTCCCAGAGCTGGCGGAAAACTACAGTACCGCCGCCATGTTGGGAAGCTGAGGTGGGTGGAGCCAGAAGCCACAGCTGCTGCAGCTTAAAGCAATAGAGTCACAATAAGACAGTTTCAGATGTAATAGTTTAAAATGTGTGTAAAATATTCGTAGGCTTGAAAGAGACAAAAAAGGTGATATATACAGTTATAGAAACAAATACATAGTTTTAAAAAATAAAGTCTTTAAAGAGACAGTAAAATTAATATAAAAAATAAGCCATGTGAAGATGAATATTACACAGAGAATCTGGATTGTGTTGTCTTTGGGATTCTTAACTACAGAGAGATATTTGATTGTAAAGGAAGCTGAGTTAAACCAATATGCATATTTTAAAGATACTTTGACTTCAAAATTTGGATGTAAGGATGTGTTGCTTTGGAAAGGAGTCTCTGCTTTTATTCCCACAGAAAGCCAGAGGCTATGGATTTGTTCAAGATTAAGATACATCAGGTTTGACCAGCCAAGACCCCCTGAAAGGTCTCCGATGACACCATGGCCCAGATGACACCATGGCCCAGATGATCCAACATCCAGAATGATTTGAAGGCAACTGGCTCAGATGATACACCCTCATGGACTATTCTATAATTCTAAAATTTTCTTTGTATCCCCATAAGATACAGCGCCCCCCTCAAGCAGGAAGTAGTAAGAGAAGCTACGCCCAAATTCCCAAATTATATGTAATTTTACTTTGTTAAAGTTAAAACCTTCCTTTTTGAAAAAAAAAAAGGGGGAAGTGCTGTGGGATGTTCTGTATGGCAAATGTGTTGCTAATTAGTCAATAAATAAAACACTGATTGGCCATTGGCTAGGCAGGAAGTGTAGGCGGGGCAAAGAGGAGAATAAAGCTGGGAAGTAGAAGGCTGAGTCAGAGAGACACTGCCAGCTGCCACGATGAGAAACAGCATGTGAAGATGCCGGTAAGCCACGAGCCATGTGGCAAGGTATAGATTAATAGAAATGGATTAATTTAAGCTGTAAGAACAGTTAGCAAGAAGCCTGCCATGGCCATACAGTTTGAAACCAATATAAGTCTCTGTGTTTACTTGGTTGGGTCTGAGAGGCTGTGAGACTGGCAGGTGAAAGAGATTTGTCCTGACTGTGGGCCAGGCAGGAAAACTCAAGCTACACCCTCTCCTGCCTAGCTATCAGCCATTCAGCTTTTTATTATACCAACCAGATGCCTTAGGCAGGCACGGTGAAACAAATGCAACACATCTCTACATCCTTAAACAAATGCAGCATAAACAAATGTAAGACATCATTACATAGGTAATGTGGTATTCCAAAACACATCTCCCTTAAAGAACTGCTTCTTTGTTTAATGAGCACCAAATTGAATATAACATATCCATTTTTGCTTGTTTGGGAAAAAGAATTTTAGATTTAGGAAAGGTTTGTGGTGGGCACACTCACCTGTACTTTTTTCCTGACTGTGAGACTGCATATCCACTCTGCTTTTGTTTACTGCCTCTCTCTCTCTCTCTCTCTCTCTCTCTCTCTCTCTCTCTCTCTCTCTCTCTCTCTCTCCCAAATAACGTGTTTAAAATAAGGATCAGAAAGCAATGCCAATTCTGTGAAGTGGGAAGAAAGGTCAGGGAAGGAGAGGAAGAAAGGAAAGAAACAGTATTGCTCCTTATCACTTGTCACACGGGAGTGACACCTCTGTGCAAGCTGAGAATAGGACTTCAGCTAGCTAGGCTACGCCTGGGACACCACCGCTCCCTGTAACTAGTATTTGGCAGGTATCAGGACTCAAACTGTTTACAGACATGATCTCGTGTAACCCACCACGGAGGTACAGGAAAGACAGCAGTAGCCCAATAGGTGAAGAAATTAAGGCTGAAGGAGGTTAAATAACTTGTCTGAAAAGAAAAGGTGGTTGGGTTGAAGCTGGGTGGTAGAGCTTGCGAAAGGCCACTGGTTCGATGCTACCCTTCAGAAGAGAAGTGCCTTCCATGTCGTCTAATGACACCACCACCAGAATTAAGTCTAACTTGCTCTTAACCCAACAACAACAACAACTTGCCTCACCTCAACCTACTAGAGTGAAGATGACCTCCTGCTACCTCAACTAACCCACCCTGAAGGATGGCGGGGTTTAACATCCTCCACCCTCTTGCTGCCAGATTCCTTGAACGCGGGCACATCCAGACCTCTTGTTTTGAAACAGATAACAAAAGAATGCATTCGCTAGCAAGTTGGGTCCGTGAGAAGCCATTCCACTCGGTTTGCACGCTGAGCAAGGCGATAATGAACTCAGCTTCCGCAGATCACTCAGGTGTTTTAACTGATCCTCAAATGGAGACATCCCACCCTGCCCTGGTTGTGCTGGTGGCTGTTTTCCCGGTGCTGCTCGCAGACTGAGGCTGGAAAAATCTCTGAGCAAGCCGGGGACTCTGGAGTCTTTACTGTGGGCCCAGGGGGAGGACAGCTTTGCTGTGTACACTCACATCTACCGGCCGCTCTAGAGAAAGCACAGCCACCGGGCACTTACTCAGGTGGGTGCAAGATTAAACACTGCACGCCCACTACACCCCGAGTTCATAGAGATAGGCCACCTCACACACCTCCCCCACTCACGCTAGCGCTCGTGCACACGCGCGCATCCCGTGCGCACGCTCGGGTCCTCGCCCGGTGGCTCCCGCGCGCCCGCGCAGCGCCGAGCGGAGGGCGGGGAGGGCGCGGCCGCGAGAGGGCGCGGCGAGCTGCCGGCGCGCGGGGCCGGGTCCTTGCCGGGCCCGGGTGCGAGACGCTCGGAGGGACCCGGGGCCGAGGGAGCGCGGCGGGCACGCGCGCCATGAACCCGAAGGCAAGCGGTGAGGAGGAGGACTGCGTGGACTCGGGCGCCGAGACCGGAGGGTGAGCCGGACCAGGAGGGGCGGGATCCCGAGCCACTGCAGCGGGATCGGGGCTGGGACTCAGTGTCTGCGGGCTAGTGGCGTGGTCCGTGGCTGCCTGGGGCAGGGCGGAGAGGGGCGGGAAGGGCCCCACCCGGGGCTGGAAGGTGGTGGGACCCGAGGCTCAGCGTCATCCCTCGCAGCCCTGTGGCCCTCGGTGCCAGGTTCAGCCAGTATTCCCTGTGAGATAGAGAAGCGCCTGCACTTGTTCCCACCAGCTGGGGAACTCTAGTAGCTCGGCAGCCTCCCGGGAATCGGGCCCTAGAGATGAGGAAAGCAGGTGGAGAGGGTGGGACACCTGGCACGAATAAGACTCTCCGAAGCCCGCTTAGAGGGCTGCATAGCTCACTTATCCTGTGCTGCTGAGCCGCTTCTCCACCCCGCCAGCCTTGGGTACCCGCAGGATGCTGTGATCGGGGTCTTATGTGCTTCCAAGGACTCGAGTAATTAGCTGAAACCTTTGGAGGCTAATTAGCCCTCTCCCAACAGCAGTTTTCCTGGGTAGGACAAAAGAATGCGTTTGTCAGAAACGAATGTCCCGGAATGGTTTCCACCCAGCCCCTATCTAGAGGATGTTCCTGTGCAGTCAGCACTACATCCAGGATGCTCAGTAGGAAAGGGTGTCTTCTCCTATCTAGAGAAATCCTGCTTGAGGTCAGGGGCCACCCGGACTACAGAAGACCTCGGAATTCCTGCAAGGTGGAGCGGTTTCAAGCTAATTTTAGGATCTGGCAATCTACTGAGGACAGGGAGAGAGAGGCCTGTTCCAGAATGGACCTCAGTTCTGACCTAACCCAACTGGACCTACATTCTTCCCTACATTGGGTTTGCCCTGTTACCCAACTGTGATAGCCATGGCGGAGGAGTAACTTGATTGAAGAAGCTCCCACCCCACCCCACCCCTTGCTTTCGCTTCAATTTTGCTGGTGTGAAACTTGTCAGTTTAGTTTCTTTCCTGATTTTTGTGGCGCTGGGGTTCCAAGCGAAGACCTCATGCACAGTAGACAAGAATTCTAAGACTCTCTCTCTCTCTCTCTCTCTCTCTCTCTCTCTCTCTCTCTCTCTCTCACACACACACACACACACACACACACACACACATATTACTTACCAGCTCTAGCTGGCCTAAGGCCTCATGCCCAGTAGACAAGAATTCTAAGACTCACTCTCTCTCTCTCTCTCTCTCTCTCTCTCTCTCTCTCTCACACACACACACACACACACACACACACACACACACACACACATACACACACACACACACACACACACACACACACACACACACACACACACACACACATATATTACTTACCAGCTCTAGCTGGCCTAAGGCCTCATGCCCAGTAGACAAGAATTCTAAGACTCTCTCTCTCTCTCTCTCTCTCTCTCTCTCTCTCTCTCTCTCTCTCTCTCTCTCTCTCTCTCTCACACACACACACACACACACACACACACACACACACACACACACACACACACACACACGTTACTTACCAGCTTCAGCTGACCATCCTTGGCGCCCCTCTCCTCCGTGAACAGAATGAAACAAAGCAACATTTCCCAGCTCTTTTGTAGCTGCTGTGAAGCAGCCTCTGTCCCGCTAATTTTTAACTTGCATGGCTCTCCTGAAGCAGATGTTTGCCAGAAGGGCCTTGGCCTTGGAGAAGAGGGAGTAAGCATTGGCTTTGAGAGGTGTCTTCACCCCAGGAGGCAGGCCAGCATGAGAGCTACCAGGGAGTCCTAGGGAGGGCTAGTTAATATGGAGACACCCCAGTTCTGTTTTCTGCTTGTTACTAAAGAGTCTTCTTGCTGTACCAGGACAGAACTGTTTAAAGAATTCTTATTGCACCACTAGCAAACTTAAATTAAAATGTAAAATGGTATTATTTGAAACAGAAGTTTCAGTTCATGCCCCTTAGCCCTGTATTTGCTATCTACTCCGCATACTTGGAATTTTAGCTTAGCTATCAAACCTGCTGTTAGTAGTTGGCTCATTTTCTGATGCTTTCCCTTTCTATTCTGGCCAAGTTACATATAAAGCACACAGAACCCACTCATTAAGTGTTGGCTGCTTGTTGTTGTTGTTGTTGTTGTTGTTGTTGTTGTTGTTGTTGTTGTTGTTTGGAACAGGGTCTCCTGTAGTCCAGGTTGGACTTGAAATCACCAAGTAGTCAATGACAACCCTAATCTCTGTTCTTCCTGCCCCGCTTCCCAAGTACTAGGATTATAGGAATGTGCCCCATGCCGGGATTTTCTTAGTATTGTCGCTCTCCCTTCCAAGTGTCTACAGCTCTTTTGTCTATTAAGGGCAAGAGCTGAACATGGCCTTGGACAGTGACCTCCTCTGGTGCTGGCCAGTTCTCCTCAGACCTTTCCTTGCTCTTTGACTTGGCCATCCTGACATGCTTTTCTGATGCCTACTTTTGCCACACTGCCCTTTCGGCCAGCTCTGCCCTTTTCTGTCTGGCATTCCTGTCTACCAGGTGAAATTCTACTCTCCCCCTCTCTCTCTCAAAACCCAGCTCGAGTGACATACCCACTAGGATGTCAGTCCTCGACGTGGGGTCCACAAATGGGTTCAAGACATATACAAACGAGTAGACCTGGTAAAGCTTTGTGAGAAGAAAATAAAATTTAACTGGATTCTCAAACTAGCCCATGATCCCTTCTAAACCAAGTTAGGGGAAAATGTGGGACATTTCAGCGTCAGCAGAGGCAGTAAGAAGAGACATTAAGATGAGCAGTCAGACATTGGGTATCTTTGGAGTTCAGTGTGGAGGTCTAACATGATGATGTCTTTGGAACTTCCCATGAAGCCCTGGGAGAGATGAATTCAACTGAAGGTCACAGCAAATGTTTACCCAGCATCCACTGCATGCTGCCTGCTGTTCTAAACCTTTGCATGCCTCAGTGGCTCACTGAATCCTTAGCCAGCTCAGCACAGCTGGCTGTCCTTAAGCCCAGCCTTGAGAAGCAAGCCATTGTGTCGAAATGTCAGGCAAAAGCAAGAAAACCCATGGAAGAGCCCAAGAAGGAGGAACAGGCTGTCCTGGAAACCGAGAGAGGGTTAAGTTTTTGAGAAATGAAGGTCAATAATGTCTGACTGAGAGTCTCATTAAGATAAGGACTGGGAAGTGCCATTTGATTAATGGAGATACTGAGAGAGGCTTGGACAGTGGGGTGGTGAGAAGCCAGGCGAGCTTGGCTCTAGAAAGGAGTAGAAGGTGAGGAAAGGGTGAGAACTGAGCCATTTGTCTAGAAAAGTATCCAGAAAAATGATGAGTAGAAAGGTGTGCAATTTAGAATACCCCTGCTTCAGCCTCCCAAGTTCTGGGATTACAGGCATGTGCCCCTATACCAAGCTCCATACATTCTTTATCCCCAACACAACAGAAACACAGGTGCTTTCAGACATCTTAAGGAGGCTGGTCATCATCATTCAGAACATCCAGGCCGTGCCTTGGTGTTGTCATTATTATTTTACAAATAGGATGCAGCAACTCAATGGGGATATGGCTTATGGGTCTGCAGCCCAAGGCTTCTACATCCTTCCCACCTAGTAACCATTCCCAAGGAACCATTCCATCTATAATTAGTCCTTGTTTTCTTTTGGAGGCAATGCTGCCTCTTCCCACCTACCTCCACCTCACATGGGCCCTGACTAAAGGCAGACAGACTAGTATCCTGTGGCAATGGATGTCATTTGGAAGCTCCGCTGGGAAGCGAGCCTGTGCTTCTGTGTGCTGTTAGGAGAAACTAGCAAGCCACTTTTGGCAAAGTCGCTTATGACACAGAATTTCTTAACAGAGGGACAGGCAGTTCCTTGAAAATACAAATAAAAGCCAGTGCCAGCAACAACAGTTTCATTAGTGAGTCTCCAAGACATGGCCTCTACCCTGCTCTTTCACATGGGACCATACCTAGTGAGTGCTTTTCCTTCATTAGTTTGTTCTGGCATCAGTGAAATTCTACCTCTGTCACCCACCTTTTGGCCCACGGCAGTGTCACACTTTTCAGGGAACTACAACCGATGCTTCACTGCAGCCTACAGGAAGAGGCAAGCACTGAGAAGCGGAACAGGTAGATGGGAAAGACTAGGTACAATAACATTTTAAATGGGCCAGCATTTTTTAAAGGAAATCTTATATAGCAAAATGACTTTTTAGTCCTGTATGAAGTTTGTGTCCAAGGCTAGTTAGCTCTGTTACCATGACCTTCAATTTAGTGCACTCAGAATAATCAGGGAAGGCCATGACACAGGGAGCCATGTGTTTGCAATAACAGGAAGGCCAGTTTTACAGAAAGGCCAAGTTCAGTTCTTAGGCCATAATTTCCTGGAAAAAGGAATCTAGGAAGACATTCCTTTTATAAAATGAATATATGTACAGATTGCCTAGTGAGACCTCCAGCAGCAGTGAACTATCTTAATTACAGAGTACCTTCCCATATAATCCTAATGCATGCAATTAACATACAGATATTACATATACATACATACATATACATATACATATATATGTGGTGGGAGAAAATAATCCTTGTGTTATTATATGCTATCTACTGTATAGGTTCAAGAATTTTACATCTTAAAATTCCTGCGTTTACCTTTCATGCTCCATGTTGTGTGCAGAGCTAGCCAGGGAACCCTTTGTGATATGAAACCAAGAAACAGAAATCTCAAGCTGTCCCTACCTGTCCTTGAGGAGCGTGAAGTCCTTCAGAGCAGTCTAGGCAAACACCTGATTGTTTTCAGAAACTATTTTAATCTATTTCTTTATGAAGTTGTCTTAGGCTTTACAGTTCGTCCTTCACTGGCAATACCATTAAATAATCATACTTAGAATATGAGCTAGAGAAGTGGAAACCTTGACTCGGTCTGTATTACCAATCACGGTAATTTTTCTAAGGACAAGGAAGTAAATAAATATAAAGCTTTATTCATACAGATCTCATCACCCAGTGTTCTGCAAATGTGAACCACGAACAATCATGCAGCCATTTCCAAAGAGAAGGGGTTGAGTAAATTGCAGCATGTCAGTTCATCTGAAGTGGTAGCTACAGGAGCTGCCAAGCAGCTTGTTCACACGGTTCGAAATGAAAAGAGCAGTTCAGAGCCGTTCTGTCTATCATTGTGGCAATATGCAGATTATATAAACTTAGAACCAGAAGCTGGAGAGCAAGGTGAGATCTTAGATGCCTCTTCCGTTTGATGTGTTTTAATGATGTGAGGGCCACAGGGCTGGGCAGAGACCACCCTTCAGTAGAGACAGGGGTCTATGTTTTAATTAGTGAGCATGAATGTCCTTGAAAGTCAGACATGATTAGATTGGTACTGTGCAGATTGGCTGCTGTGTGAAGGAGTTGGAGTTCACAAGTCTGCCAGAGACAGGACAGTTGGCAAGCCTAACCCCAACTTACCATGAAAGTCTTGAGAGATTTAGGGGGACTTCATGGAGGAGTGTCCTTTATGTTAGCACTTATCCTAAAATACTCTCAATGTAATTTTCAGTCTATGTCCATATCCATCTGTGTGCAGCTCTTTACAACGCCTGCCCATGTAAATTTCATCTTTGGCAAACCCTAGCTAAAAAGACTGGTGCATTCTTGCTAGGAAACATAGTAATATTACACTCTCCACGTCCTATGTGGATAGTTGTACGATTTCTGGAATGTCTGGCTCTGATTGTGGTGTGATGCAAGGACTTTGCTATTGATCTATAATAGTGGATGCTTCTTGGGCACTCATGGTACTTTTTATAGCTAGGTTTCTCAGCGTCGTCCTAATGTGTTGTTTCTGTACTGTCTGGCTCCGGAAAGAATTTCATGTGCCAATACTGGGTGCAGAAATCCTGGGTTTCAGCATGTCACCAATCCTTGATGCTTTCATTTCCCTCAGCCAATGTGGCACTATACCCTAGCACAACCCATCCTGCTTCGCAGCTTGTTCATTACCCATCCACGCTGCCCAGTGAGTGCAAAACCCTCACTTCCTGGTCTCCTTACTGATAGTATCACTTTCCACTGACTAGATCAACCGACTAGACTCAGAATCACCTCAGAGACACAGCTCTGGACATGTCAGTGAAGACGCTCCCAGAGAGATTCAGTTGAGCAGGCAAGGCCTATCTTGAATATGGGTGGCACCATCACACAGGCTGAGGTCCTCTGAAATAGAGAAGAAGGTGGAAGCGTACTGAGCACCAGCATCCATCTCTCTCCGCTTCCTGTCTGAACACAGTTTGACCAGTTGCCTCACACTCGTTCCCACCTCAGACAGACCCTTCTTCCCTTCCTTAAGTTGCTTTTGTTAGGTATTTTGTCGTCATGACTACTATGACAGTTGATCAAATAAAATTGAATTTGACACATGGGAGGGCAGTTTACAAAGAGATGTGCAAATCTCTTTTGCAGTTTTTAATCTTTCCAGTTTGAAACAACAGGATTTTAACTACAAAAATATTTCATTTGAAAAAGAGAAAACCAATGTCCTTTCCCTTCCATTTTATTCCTTCCCAATAGTTCAGGGTGTCATGGTCTGAGCAGTGTAGTAATTATGACACATAAAAGGCAATTTAAACAAAAAGTTTTCTATGCACTTTTCGAATGTAGTAAATGGAGTGAAAATTGGATAATTCAGGAAAGACAACTGGAGACTAAGGTGATAGATGGGGTGTATACCTATAAAATTAAACACAGTGTAGCAGTTTATTTGCCCGACTACATCCCCTGACTGCCAGGCACTGTGAATCCCTGCATCCCTGAGGGATTAATTTCCTACTGAGAATGACTTTGGGGGTGCAAGAGAATAAACAGCATCTACACCAAATTCCTTGCCAAAGAGGAAAGTCTCAACAGCCCTGCCCATAGGGCAGGGACTTGGCAGACCAGGCAGAGCAGGTTCTTGGCAGGAATCCCATTCTCGTAGTGACTGCCTGCCAGCCACTGAATTCTCAGCATAAAACCTGTATGGACCACCTCTCCTCAACTCTTCATCCCCACCACAGTCCACATCCTGTGACTCTCCTATCTAGCAGGATTAGGAATAGAAATCAACTGAAGTGCCCTGTGCTGAAGGTCCCTGCTGGTCAGCCAGTCCTGGTGTGTGGACACAGCCCTACTCCTCAGCCCAATTCTATCCTTCTTCCTCAGGGGTTCCTTCCATCGTGTCATCAGAGAAGCATCCCAGTGGTGCTGTGTGAACATTGGGAAGTGTCCCTTAATGAGAGTGTAACCTTATGGGGAATTGTGAATCTGTTGAAAACTTGGAGGCTTTCTTACCAGAAAAATAAACAAACATTTAGAAATTTTCCAACAAATCCAGAGGGCCTGAGAATCTCCCAGGGTGACCCACAGAGCCCATGCGCAGGCTCCATCCAGCTTTGCTTTCAGAATTTTGCACTAATTTGCACCAGAGAAGCCTCAGCACTGTGTTTCACCAGCAACAGCTGTAGCAGGCAAATGCTACTAACTACCTCATCCCCACTAACAAAGCTTGTAGCTCGAGGGGCTCATTTGGATAAAGGAAAAATGATATCTAATCCTACTTACATCTTACGTTTCAGGTCCGACTACAGCCATCTGTCCTCCACCAGCAGTGAGTATTATTTGAATGTCCTTCAAAGTTGTCTTTTAAATTTTTAAAATATAGTTACTTCATTTTCCTGCTTGCTCTCCTCCTCCCTACCCCTCCCATGTACCCCCAGCTCCCTTCCAAATTCATGGCCTCCTCTTCTTTAACCATTGGTGTTACATATGCATATAGACAAGAAACGGAAATAGACCCTGCTCAGTCCATGCTGTGTTGCTGCATATGTAAGCTTTTAGGGCGGACCACTTAGTATTGGATAACCAGCCAGGGGGCTTATCCAGGAGAAGACGAATTCTCCATCTTTCAGCAATTGTTAATTGCATGTAGCCCACCATCTAGGGGTGGGGCCCCCATGAGATTTCCCCCATCTATGTTGGATGTCAACTGGTGATGGAGGGGTAGCCATGGTATTGGGATTGCATGGGTATAGTTTCTCTGTCATAGCCAGAAGCCACAGTCTCACTGCAAACTGCCTGGTCTTCTGGTCCAGCCCCTCTCCCATGATGTTCCCTGGGCCTTAGACGCAGGAGTTGTGTAGCAGAGGTATCAATTGCGGCTGGGCACCCCACAGTCCATTTTCTCTGAATTTTGACTAGTTGTACTTTCTGAACTGGTCTCCTGATGCAGAAACAATCTTCTTTGGTTAGGGTAAGATCTACACTTAACTGTGTGTGTAAAGCTAGGTATTTAGAGTGTCGTTGGGAGTGATGCTGGTTTAGGAGAAGGGCAGTCGTAGGTTCTCCTCTAAGATCCATGATTTCACTAGCCCTGTGTAGTTGGCTAGGTTTACAGTAGCAGGAATGATTTCCCTCCTAGGCCGTAGGCCTTGAGTCCAATTAGACAGCCGTTGGTTTCTGCTACGATTAAGTGCCACGATTGCACTTTTAGGGCTATCGTTTCACACTGGCCATTGCTGTTGTTGGTTTTTTTTCCTTTGTCAGAAAACAGATTTATTATTGATAGTGAGTGAAGTTGTCAGTATTCACTACAGAGGTTGCATAAGCCAAGGTTTGCTTTATATTGATAAAAATGCCTTATTTCACTTGTAATCATAAACATTATTCCAGTGAAAGAGGTATATTTTCTCTCCTTTCTTTCTTGCATGATCACCATAATAAGTTACAATGAAATAGCTCCTATATAATGAGAGAAGCGTACACCCAGGCCCCACAGCCCAGGTGAGTGTTCATGGGTGTCAAAGCCAGGCATTGATTGCTTATATCCCTGAACAGTTTTCATAGTGCTTTCTGGGACTATGAAAGCTAGTTTCTGGGGGGAGGCGTTCAGCTCAATTTTATCTACAATCCTCTGGGTCCTATGTCCAAAATGTGTAGTGTCCTCGGCAATAGAGGCAACCAAGGACACTGACAGTAGCCTATAGTGTTGTAGGAGCCTTGTGAACTCCCTTGCCCAATAACTCAAAAGGAGGTTTCCCATGCCTGGTACTAGGATTTCTATGGGTCTTGGGTGGATTATTATAGCTAGCCCAAAGTGGTATAACTGCATTTATACTGTGTGCGTATTTATATTTCTGTAAGCACATATACTTATATGTTTTATATGTAATTTTAGGCAAATGTAAAATAATAATTCCCTATGCCCTTTCCAGACATCCTTAGTGCTATTTATCCCTCCTCCTCCCTCTCCTGTATTGATATCCCTCCCCCGAGTTATCCATCTCTTCCCTGTTTTCTCATTTTCCCATCCTTTCACCTCTATCCTGCTATCCCCCTCTCTGTAGCGCCTTCCCACACACACTATGGACATTTTACTTTCCTGGTATCTGCAGTTACTCCAGATTATATACTCACATCTGAATATTTGGAGCTAGGAACCACAGATAAGAGAGAACACATGGCATTTGTCTTTCTGGGTCTGGATTGCCTCACTCAGTGTAATATTTTCTAGTTCCATCTTTTTACCTGCAAAATTTATTATTTCATTTTTCTTTACATTTGAGTAATATTCCATTGTGAATATGTACCATGTTTTCATTATTCATTCATCAGTTGGAGGGCATTCAGGTTGTTTCCATTTCATAGATATTGTGAATAAAAACTGCAGTGAAATGGCTGGGCAAGTATCTGTGAAGCAGGAGGTAGAGTCCTTTGGGCATGTGCCAAGGAGTGGTGTAGCTGGGTTATATGGTAGGTTTATTTTTAGCTTTTGAGAGTCCACACTGATTTCCATAGTACCTGCACCAACTTGCAATCCCACCATCAGTGAAGGAGGGGTCCCCACATCCTCACCAGTGTTTGTTGTTGGTTGTTTTGTTGATCTTTGCCATTCTGACTGGGGTGAGATAAAATCAGTTGTTTTGATTTGCATTTCCCTAATTGCTAAGGATAAGGAATATTTTCTTGAGATGTCCCTTATTCATTTTTATTTCATCTTTTGAGACCTGTTTAGATCTAAAACCCATTTTTAAACTGGACCATTTGTTTTCTTGAATCTTTGTTTTGAGTTCTTTTGTATTCTGGATGTTAATCTTCTGTCAGATGTATGGCTGGAAGAGATTCTGTGGGATTCCTCTTCCTCTTCTTCCCATTCTCTGGGCTTCCTCTTCACTCAGTGATTTTTTTCCCTTAGCTGTGCAGAAGCTTTTTAGTTCTATGAAGTCCTGGGTAAGTCGAGTCCTATTTAGAAAGTCTTTTCCTGCATCTGTATCATGTAAGATACAGACTATGTTTTCTTCTAGCAGTTTCGGTGTTTCAGATTTTATGTTAAGGCCTTTGATACATCTGGAGTTAATTTTATGCAGGTGATAAATAAGGGTCTTAACTCTGTCCTTTTACATGTGGACATTCGGTTTTCCCAGCAACATATGTTGAAGATGCTATCTTTTCTCTAGTCTATGTTTTTGGCCTGTTTGTCAATAACAGATGGCTGTAGTTATATGTGCTCATGTTTGTGGCTTCCATTTTGTTCCATTGGTCTATATGTCTGTTTTTATGGAACTACCATACTGTTTTTATTACTATGGCTCTATAATATATCTTGAAGAACAGTAGTCCTTCCAGCATTGTTCTTTTTGTTCAGGATTGCTTTGGGCTCTTTTTTTGTTGCTGTTCCATATAAATTTTAGGATGTTTTTCTCTATTTCTGTGAAGATTGTCATGGGGATTTTGATTAGGATTGGATTGACTCTCTAAATTACTTTTAGTAGAATTGTCATTATCACAATCTTAATTCTACTAATCATGAGCACGAGATATCTTTTCATTTTCTAGTGTCTTCCTTAATCTGTTTCTTCAGAGATATAAAGTTTTCATTGAAGAGGTCTTTCACCTCCTTGGTTAGATTTATTCCTCGATATTTTCTTTTCTTTGAGGATGTTGTGAATGGGCATGTGTCCATGATCTCTTTCCCAGTGTGTTTGTTGATGGTTATAGAAAAGCTACTATATAAGTTGGTTATAGACAATAGAAAAGTAGGTTTTGTTTCTTAATCCATTCAGTTAAACTGTGTCTTTTGATTAGAGTTGAGGCCATTAATATTTAAAGTTATTACTGAAAATTGTGTCTTGGCTGCAGTCATTTTATTGTGTGTGTGTATTGTTGTTTTGCTGTTGTGTTCTAGTTCAGGAATCAGATTAACTCTTTCCTTAACGCCAAGTGCTCCAATCCCTGCTACATGAAGGCTAGGAGAAGGCTCAGAGCCTTTGCTGCCTCCATGGGTTTCAGATGACCCCTCTCTGTACCTTTCTTCTTCTACTGTCTCTGCAGGCAGATGTTGTCCCTGCCCAACTTGGAAGGGACATCCTACTCTGATAACCCCTGTGAAGTGTGTTACGGCAACACTATTACCAACAAAGGCTATAATTGGACAATTTAGCTATCATTTCTCCACTTCAAATCTAGCTAAAAAAGAGTAGACGTTTTAGTGACCCTAGAAATTGTACTGAGTCTGGGGCCTGCTAAACAAGTATTCTCACTGTGATATACCTCCAGCCTTGGATGTAGACATTTTTATTAGTCCATCTTCCTATTTTTATAATTCCTGGCTTATAAGTGATCATTAAATGTAATAAAGATATGAGTAGAAATAGGTTTTATATGAATACTCTGAACATTGAGAAGTGCTTATACTTAATATCGAAATATAAGTAAATGTACACACAAGGAATGATGCCTCATGTCTAGACAGGATTTTTAGTGATTAAAAGCATTACATCAAAGCTGTCCATATTGATTGAACATTCGTTTTAAAATTACCCAAAACAATTAACTTGACTTTTTGAGTTGATAAATACTGAATAGTTCCACCCTCCCTCATGGTCCTGTTAAACTTTCAACTCTAATTCCCAACTGGATAGACACCTAATTGGCTCATTATGTTTATTGATGTTCTGGCTTGGTTTTCCTCTGCAGTAGGGACTGTGAGAAAAGCTGAGTATCTGGAATTGTAATTTAGTGTCCAATTATACTCGGCTATTAGGGGAAACGACAGTGAGCAGTTTCTGATAGTCTAGCCAGCTGAAGACCCAGCATTGCCCCTTGGTTATTAAAGCCATTAGAATCACGAGAACAGTACCTTAGCTGCTGCATAGCTAAGCCTCCTGAACTGTTCTCCAGACTGCCATTTTCATTCCTGTTTGACCCAGACACTACACTTCCTCAAGAATAGTTTCTCTGAAATCCCTGCGTACTGCCATTGCTGAACTTGTAGCTCACTTTGCTGTCCTCCAGATCACCACAGCGAGCCTGATCGTGTGGTTTGGATGTTTCCCTCTTCTCCCTTGTCTTAGTGGCAATCTGAAGTCGAGGTTCCTCAGGGGCAGCTAGAATCAGTAATGAGTCACTATTCTTCCTTTCCCCTGAAGTTGTGGTGTTCACTCCTCACACACAAGACCTCATACACAGTGTGTGTTCTTATTGGCAACTGTGTGTTGGCTTCAAATGATAAAGAAAAATAAGCATTAAGCAAGTAGAGATTGGGCCAGGCGGTGGTGGAGCACGCCTTTAATCCCAGCACTTGGGAGGCAGAGGCAGGTGGATCTCTGTGAG